AAAAAAAAATTAATCGCTATTAATATCTTTCTGGAGAAAGATATTGGAAAGTATTGTACATAATTAATTATTAAATTAAATTTCAAAATATTAAATTGTATCATTTCATATAACTGTGAATCATTCACATAAAATGGCGAATTTCAGATATTTCATTCTTGTAGCTACCAGATGACTTTGATAAAATTAATTTCAAATATAATTAAATTATTTATTTCCATTACATAAATTTAATTGTATTTTAGTGTAACGTGGTCCAATTACCTGCGTTAATTATACGCCAAATAATAACAGAACATTGTACCTACGAGTAATTTATATTTAATAACATTCGACGTGAAAAATTGAAACTAAAATTAGAATTTAAACTATTTTTATTAACTTGGGTTACCTTATTAAATTAGAACCATGTGAATCATTGCCACGATTGAATTAATCGCAAGAAATTAATCAACATCGATCACACTTTCCGTCGATTTATAATCAATTACACGATAAAACGGCAAATAATACATAGAAAATAAAGGCGAGAGGCGTCCAAAGTATTGAAAAATAAAAGAGGCAAAACTCGAACGGATAAAACAGGACATTGTCTCGTGTCGCTGTTAGTTTCGCGGTTGATCGAGCCATCATCGAGGCGTAAGTCTGTTTTCGTTCGGTCAACGATCGGATCGGTATCGTTCGTTTGGATTTTAATCAATGAGAGACGCTGGCAACGGACGTAAACTACAGGCGAGGATAAGCTGTCGCAACGCGATGCATAAGAATCGAGAGAAAAGAGTCGAAGAAGTGAAGCCAATCAGCTTGTGGATATATCGTAGAAAACCGCCTGGCTAACCACTTCGTCATGCTCGATTGCACCTTCCTCCTTCATTACACGCCGTCGACCTTATTGTTTTGTCGATCGTATCGAACTGCTAGAGAAAGAATGCCGACAAAATCTCGCGACGATCTGTCTAGCTTAAGAATGATCGTGCTATTACGATTTCTGCCACCGTGTTACGCGTTACTCCTTTTCTTCTGTGGTGATTTTTTAAATATTATTATATATACGAGTACGGTCCTAAGTTTACAGTCTTATGCAAGCAAGAGTTGTTTGACTTAAATTATCGGTAAGGAATGTATTGAGTGCTCCAAGCGGAAAATAATTATTTATTAGTAAATAGTTTGAAAAGAGAGGAAATAATAGAGAAATTTGATTAGTAGAGGATTTTTCTGCATTTATAGCAGAATTTACTCCTATAATATGCAAAAGTACCATAATAAGAACAAATTTCTACTTAGGTTTTATATTTTTGTTTGTCTACTTATCAGAAATAGTGTCTTCGATTCTCTATTTTTTACACGTTATTTAATTATATTTAGAAACTCAACTTTGAAAGATATATTTAAAAATTACTAAATTGTTTTATTTTTATTAATTTCTATTAGTTTCTAGTTAAGAGAGGATACCAAGTCGTGAAGTCGACTAATTTCAATTAGTGACCTATTGATTAAATCTTATTCGAATGACTTATCGTGGTCCCCTATTATTTGGACTGAAATTATCATAGATAAAAAAGAAAATTGAACTTCCAAAATTGCAAATTCCAAATTCCAAATTCCAAATTCCAGTAGGCAAGTTTCACTGATTGAAATAAAATTCACGAAAAGGAAACGAAAGCATCATTCTTCTCAGTGTTCTTGCGCATGCTACTTATTATCCATTTCCTGGTCAGGCCATCGTATCTACTTTACATACGCTCAAAACAAGAAAAAAACGCAATAGGGAAAGGCAGTAAAAGTTGCGATCGTTTCAATGCACGGTGCATTGTATGATAACTAAGTTACACCTTTCACCCATTAGACGCAGGACAAATCGCTTCTGGCTCGATTTAGTTCGCTTGAAACGCTTTAACGAGCGCAACAATGTTGACATTAACATACAAAAAAATACACGATTAAATGTAAAAATTACAAACTCGTAAATTAACGTCGCAATCACTTGGATTCTTCACTTTCAAATGTTATAAAAGTTTTCAATTTAAAATATATATAAATACCTGTTTAATGTCAATAAATATTTTATAATTAGAATTTTTTAATATAAATTAATATAAAAAAATTCGATTCTCGAAGGAATTTCTTTCTGGAAGAAAGTTCTAAACTTTCAAAGGATGTTTATTTATTTCCAAAGATAACTATATCCTTATGAAAAATAAAAATCGTCGATCTGAAAAAAAGATCGATAATAATCCTATATATATATATAAGTGATGTTGAAACGATGCAAAATAACCGCGATTCTCCATGTTACTCGCGAAATTGATTCACGTCAGGTAAATTATCGTCGACACGTAATAAAATTGCAGGAGATCGCACGAAAGATAGTCGTTTTCCAATCCGAGACACCTACAACGATTTATACGCCGTTCTTCAAGAAATAAACGGGCACAATAATGATTGCGATGATGGATAGATGAGATCACGACCACAAGCGAGTTACAACCTCGAATCCTCAAATCCTCGTTAGAAACAGCTCCTAAATCAAGCTTTAGCGAAACAAACGGGAAAAATGATAATACATGTACGCAATTCTATATCATAGTGAGATATTGCAACAGAAAGTTATTCCCCTTGATGGCATCGTAATATCAGATGAAACGTTGTATCAATTATAATACGATGGTTTAATGTCTACGGGAACAATTTAGAAATTCTTCAGAGTGCGATGATATCCTTTGGAAATTTATAATGATTACTTTGAG